AAGAAGGGAAGGGGAGAAGGGGTAAGGGGCGGAAGTAGATTGAAATAAAAAGTGAAGTGAAACTGACTTACATACAAGGAGTGTTGCTCCACAGTTGGAGGCTGTGTTGTCTGAGTTTACACTGCTGAAGCATTACTTGACTATAGTTATCCAGGATTGGTTTGTGAGAAAGCGTTTTGAATTTCACAGCGGGCTGAAAAGACCAAACCGCGTTATCAAAACGTGATAGCATTCGTGACTTTAAAGCCTGAAGCGTTGCACGCAAGGGATAAAACAAATTTTCAGTGACAATTCGGCTAAACAAGAGAAAAGAGAACGAGAAAGGACACAGAAGCTACCAACAGCGCGTTCCAGAAACGCTGTCATTTGCTTAATGCACAAAATCCCTTATTTGAAGTTCCAGCATTTCTATATCTGAGACGAATGTTTTTAGGCGAATGCTGAAGGATTTGTGGAAATGAATGGGCAGCGGTATATTGTAGGAGGGCAGTGGCGCAAGGAGACGCGGGGTCCCTCCAGACACTACCTGTACTCCGGATTACTTGAAACACCAGAGGTTTTTTTATCAGTATAAAACTGGCCTTTCTTTCGTTATTTGCTAGTACTCGTAATATTTTCACCACTGTAAAATTAGCGTAAAATTTTTGGAAGTAGATATATGTGTGCACGTCGGTATCAGTTTTGTGTGCATCTGTTTGTACGTTTCTGCACGTGTGTCGGATTTACTCTGTGTGTGTGTGTGTGTGTGTGTATGCGTGTGTACGATGTTTGTTCCTGTGTGCATGCGGGTATGTATGTGTAGCATATGTGTTTATTTATCAGTCTGGTATTTTAAGACTGCTGCCCAGTTTAAAAGGCAGTGCCACTTTTTAAGCAGATTTGGTTAAAAACACTTCCAATATTTTAAATCTGAGCGAAAAGAAATAACTCCTTTTTACTCACCATGCTGTTCGGAGAAAACTAGATTTTTAGCGAAGTTCCTTAGTGACTTGATAGGACACCTTTCAGACGATGGAAGACTGCCTCATAAGCGGAATAAAGGCAGTTCAAGCTTCTAGCACGAAAGATTAGTTTAAAGCAGTTGGAATAACGATGTTTGTTTTTCTCAGTAGCACATTTACCCAGGACGTGGAATCTCCGTGGATGGCGATTATATCCGAGTACATCAAAGCTTGTGACTGCTTTCAGAGCAAGGTGCATTTGGACCAACAACTGCAAGTCGAGAAAGTGTTCACGGTACGGAAAGTACAAACATCTCTGGAACTGGCTGGT